TTGCTCCAATCAACTATAGAAAGAGGTATGCTTGCATCCACAATATGCTCAACAAGAGGACTAATATCTCTAAAAGCATTGAGTACATGTATTGACCAAGGTAGAAAGTTTGAACCATCATTTTGGAGAAGCACCGGCTCCAACTCGATAGGCGTCGACATCCTTTTCTCACGGCGGTGAAGCTTTAGGTGAGAACCTTGCTCGATACCAATTGAAAGGACCTAGGATGCCGCCTAGAGGGGGGAATAGGCGTTCAAAAAAAACAACACCTTTAAAAGCGGAAACAATTAGAAGGGGAGTTTCCAAAATGGAAACTCCAAATCAAGAGTACTACCACCCCTCACAAGTTAGCCACAAAGTAAACAAGGTATAAAGAATATATCTAGAAGCTACAACCTGCAACACCAAGATAGAAACGAGAGAATAAATATTTTCAATGCAGACAGAAATACGGGACGTGTCCGTATGAATCCTGACGTGTCCGTGATACACGATTTCTGCAGATCAGCCCCGAACTTGCTCCTTTTGATTTCTATCTTCAAACCAAACTGCGGCACCTAATTTAACTATCGGTATACACAGAACTCCTGCACAAGTGCTAGAGCAACACAAATATCAAAATGAAATGCGAATTGAGACACGATATTTGTTTTACGAGAAGTTCGGACTCGTTCGAGTCCTACTCTCCGTTGAGGAGGCTGCAGGCGACCAAATGAAGGTCAGCCCTAGAGGATACCACGAAGGTCACTCTAGCCGGAGTCTTTTCCAACTCCTTTTCTCCTTCCACTAATTGATTCCGAGGCGGCGGAATCGTGATTCTAAACTTTCCGAGGCACACCACAATCTCCCGGGTGCTCTCCGCGACGTCTAACTGTCTAGGACCGAAGAGTCCAAGAGTAACAAATGCTGAATCACGAGATTGACAATATGCACAAGTGCTCAAGTGGTTGGATGGCTCTCTTTTGAATTTCACTCAACCCACAAATTGATTTTGCAAGTTTGATCAATCACTCACTAAGAGAGGGTTGGCAAGGCTCAAAAACGTGTGTCTAAGTCGGAGAATCAGCAGACCACCAAAGGTGGAGGCTTGGGGTATTATAGCCCCTTGAAAAACTAACCGCTTTATAGCCGTTGTTGTCTACCGGACACGTCGTCCGTTATGACTCGATCTAACATAACGGTAACTAAGTTACTGATGATGTTGTGAGGCATCGGAACTCCCGAAGAATGCCGGGACTTCCGACCGTCGGAACTCCCGACTCAAGTCGGAACCCCGACCCTCGGCAATTTTGAAAAACATGTAATCGAGTTAAAGTTAGTGAGGTGTCGGAACTCCCGACGCATGTCGGAACTCCCGACCCTCACGGCTTTTGAAAAACTAAGCCGTTGGCTTCGGTCATCCATACTGGGACACGTCCGGTGTGAATACTCGGACATGTCCGGTATGACCGGAGATGATGAAACCTCAAAGTGTGTTGAAGTGCGAGGCGTCGAACTTCCGACTCATGCCGGACTCCGACCGTCGGAACTCCCGACCTCGTCGGAACTCCCGACGAAGCAACCCGAGAACAACAATTTTGCAAATTCTTTGGACAAATCTGGGACACGTCCGGATATTGCATCAAACAAGAAATCGATTAGCACATTTGTCGCTCAAATAATCAAACCTCACATGGGTTGGCTTGAGCACTTATGAAACATTATCTATCAACATGATGCATCCTCTTAATAGTACGGCATACCTATTAAACTCAAGATCAAAAGAAAAAAGAATTTATACCACTTGAGTTGATTTCTTTTGAATTGATGCCGTCCTTCCAATCTTCATCAAGTAAGGGTGCTAACAAGTTGATGTTGATCTTTTATTTGAGCATAGCCATCTTGAGCATGTGACTTGATTCCATTCATCAAATTTGAATAACCCCAAATGTATCAAGTCACTTCCATCAAATACTTCATTATAGATTTGATTCTTCACATCAATATGACCATCTTAGCTTGATTAGTACCTCAACTAAATGCAAGTACTTTCTTCTTCACCCTAGCTAGGTTCTTGACCGCCAAGCCGTCGCTTGCCCTTCACCCTTGCTTAGTACCTCAAAGCCTTTCCTTGCTATCTTCACCATCTCAAGCCATCAAGTCACATCTTGTGTTGAATCATCCATTCATATGTATTGTTATCTTTTTCATTTTAATTTAGCAAGCTTCAAATATGAGACCATTCCATATGCAATCCCTCATGTCTCATTAACTAATAATCATGAGCTTGCTTTCACATAGTCAATGGAAATCCCACAAAAAATAAGCCTTCACATGAATTCCATTTGCATTGTTGTCTTGTGCTCGAACTAGATTGTTTATACAACAACACATCATTTTGGCTTTCATTAAGTACCTGTGAGATAACCTATTACCTGTTCACACTTAGCAAACGGGTTAGTCCTTTAATCACGTTGTCATTCAATCATCCAAAACCCACTAAAGGGCTAGATGCACTTTCAGATACATGTAGATGTTCGCAGTGCAGTCCCGCGAACAACCACAAGAAAGAAGATGAGCGTAGGTACTAGTTCGCCGAGAAGAAAAAAATGCAGTGGCAGTCACTAGGAAGAAGACGTCGTAGATCGTTTGGAACAGGGATAGTCGTGCACTACGCCCTGCAAAAACCTGATTTGCTCGCACACCCGAGCAGGTGTTGCAGACTGGCGTAGGTTCCGGAGGCCTCCTCTTTCAATCTCTTTGTGCACACAAAAGATTGAAACGAGGAAACTCGGAAGCAGCAGGAACAAAGAAAGGTGCGATGGTTCTGAGTGTTGTTTCGTATGCGCAGGGACGCCTAGACTTATGCCCTAGCCGAGGAGAGTCAGAGCGTCGAGGGAATGCACCTGGACAGACGGAGTTATCACGAATTCCCGCATGTGACATTACGGAGTAACCGACAGAAGTAATCACGATTGATCCTGTAACAGCGAAGAATACACCTACAAACAGAGTTATCAGGAATTGCCGCAATGGTGTTACGGAGTAACTGACGGGAGTAATCGCGATTGACCTTGTTATAGCTAGAACTAATTACGCTCCCTGTAATTCCTCCATCAAATGATCAAGTGGCAAAAGTAAGTTGGTCCTGTGGAGTGGTGTAGGCTGGCACACTGCATTCACCGGGCTAGTGCACCGCACTATTCTACCATAGAGGGTTGCAAGAAGGACTTGGCGGCTCGGCACTCACCGGTGTTGTCCGGTGTGCACTGAACGGGTGCACCAAACATGCCGTATTGCTAACGAGTCGTTGGAGCCTCACCATATCGGGTGCCAAGATCAAGACTACACCAGACCTGTCGTGGCTTCCAAGTTTTCACGATAACCTGTCGATTCATTTTTTCCTCGATTCTTTTTCACCGTCTGCGTGAAACCTTCCTCGCAGGCGCACGCAACAGGGCCGCGGCGGCAGTGCTCCTCTTCGATTCTGGTAGCCCATTGCCTTGCTTGCAGCCCCAGCCGGCGAGCCTCGGCCAGCGTGCCTAGGTCACCGCGCGCAAGATCTGCCGGGTGCGAGCTGGCTGCGCTGCGGGAGGCCCTTAGGCGGCAGGCGCCTGAAGGCAGAGAAGGCTACGGAGCGTATGGAGGTGGAGCAATTCCGTCGGGTGGTCGAGGAGCGAATCCAGCACGACGAGGACACACTCGCTTTCCTCAAGGCCGACGTCTTCCACAAGGAGATGGAGATCAGCTTGTTGAGATCGAAAAGATCATCTAGGGTTAAGTCTAGCGGGTTCTCTATACTGTGAATGCGATATCGAGAGTAGAGGGACATAGAGGAATAGAAGAAGAACGTGTCGAACCTGACACCGCAGAGGGAGATGGTCCAGAAGCCGCCATCTCGTTCGTCGGTGAAGTCTGACGCACGGGCAGCAACGTTGGGGTAAGAGGTCAATGAAGTCGTCGACGTCGGTGGAGCGGGACGGCGCGCGGCTGGTGGCTTCCCGTCACTGGTTGCACTCCTCTCTGATCGGGATTAGAGTTTAGGTTTCGGTGGGGAGCTCGGCTCAGGCGAACATCGTACTCAGAGCCGCCGGCCCCCACCTCTATATATAACGCACAATGTGACAATGGCCTTCCAGCCATAGTGGGCTGGGCGCTCCCGATCAGGACGCAGATCAAAGGCCTAACTAGGCCGTTGGGCCCAGTTTAAGATTAGAGATCAATCTAACACAGCTCGCTCAACCGGAGGCTGCTCGCCGGCCGTTGACCTCACCTGGCTGCCACCGGGGACGATCCCCTTTCGTTGGCTGTCAACCTTCCCTGCCTGCGAAGGCTGGCCAAGAACGGCGTGTCGTCCAAGAGATCTGCTCGGAGCTCGACGTCATCGCCGACGCCGACACGGACGCCGGCAAGAACACTGTCGGCGACCGAAGGCCAGCGAGGACGGTCTCAGACATCAGTGAGGTGATTAGTATGGAAAAGGAGTAGCTGTGGATGACATCTGGGGTCTGCTCGTAAGTGAGAGTGGCTGACAATAATTTTTTAGAAGAAGCATCTGTTCAATCAAATGGCTTTGAGCCCTGTCGTAGCCCACAATTCAGAGTATACCGGTGAAATTGGAGAGAACCAAAGAAAACCTTAGATATGAAATGGCACTCTAGTTTTGTAGTAGCTCTGGATCTGGATGTGTGTGCCTATCGCCCGTTCTTCTCTTTGATATAAGATCACGCCTTCGCCTTTCCATAAGTCCATCAGCTATGTCTATTGCTAGACCTGCCTGATTAACGATCACCCCCGAACAAAATCAGATCGGCAGATTCTCTTCATGCAAATTTGAAACACCTTCCGCGAGAACAATAACAGAGAACCATCGTATAAATAAATATTGTCGAGTTACAGTTTGAACTTGCCACGAAAACTTACAACTTACAAGCAAATGTACACGCGATAACACAACATACAGCCCCGTGCATACCGATCGCACCAGCACGAGAAGAAAACAAGGCATGACGGGAAACCGCTCACCTCCTCTTGTTCCTGCTCCCGAGCAGCAGCGAAATGTAGAAGAGGATGCGGAAGAGGAACCCCCAAGCGACGGTGATCCAGAGGCAGTCCCACTTGGTGAGGTCCGTCACGGCCTGCTGCCGCAGGAAGTCTGGCCCCGTCGTGATGCACGTGTTCGTGCCGATGTCCACGCCCAGCGACTGGCTCATGGCGCGCAGCACCCGCACCTTGAGCACCGCCGGCAGCGCCGCCAGCGGCGTGTTGTCGAACATCTGCACGCCCCGCACGAAGCACCGCGTCGGGTCGCTGAACTCGTTCTGCATCACCGCCTCGTACGGGTACTTGACCAGCGACAGGTAGTGGAACCAGAGCCAGTACCGCGGGATGCGGTCCCGGTTGATGAAGAAGCCGCTGAAGAGGAGGAAGTAGGCCAGCGTCGACACCACCACGGGGAAACCCAGCATCACGTTCGTCACCACGCCAGAGAGGAACGTCGCGAACCCAGAGCCGGCCCAGAAGGATGCCAGCACGATGGCCACGAAGAAGAAGAAGCCGTCGGCGCCGCCGGCCAGGCCCACGGAGAAGAACGTGGTGAGCGCGAACGCGAAGGAGAGCACGATCAGCGACGGGAAGCCGACAATGGTGTGGGAGAGCACGTACGAGGACCGCCGGTACGCGTTGTAGGCCGTCTCCCGGAGGAAGATGTAGCGCTCGTTGAGGAACACGGGGAGCGAGTCGGAGCAGGTGTAGAACATGGTGGACATGGCGATGGCGAAGAAGCCCAGGCGCTCCTCGACTCCCTTGGGGGAGTCGTCCAGGCGCCAGAAGATGGTCGCCAGGATGAACCCCGTCACCATCACGGCCGCTAGGCGGATGATGAAGATCTCCGGCGTGCGCTTCGTGCTGAGGAACGCGCGACGGGTGAGGACGCCCATCTCGACCCAGAACGGGTTCGCGAACTTCGACACCGGGGCCGCCGGCGCCGCCAACTCCCCGGGCGAATGCACCGACACGGATCCGTCGGTCGCGCCGGACACGAGCTTCCCGCGAGAGATGCTGGCGCTGATGGCCTCCTTCAGGGACAGCGACGGCTTCTCGCCGTGCCCGTCGTGGTGCTTCGCCTTGGGAGCCATGCGCGTCTGCCATTTCTTGTTGTGCTCCACGAGGTCCCTGGCCCCGTCCGGCATGGTCTCCAGCTCCCTGATGAGGTCGAGTGCGAACTCCGTCGGGTTCTCGTTGCCAGGGATGGGCTTGCCGAAGTCGTTGAAGAAGGACGGCAGCGCGCGTGGCGAGCCGTAGTACACCGTCTGGCCGCGGGAGAGGAACAGGAGGCGGTCGAGGAGGCCGAGGATGCGGTAGCTCGGCTGGTGGATGGACATGACCACCACGCTGCCGCTCTGCGCGATGCGCTGCAGCACCTTGACCACCATGAACGCGCTGGTGGAGTCGAGCCCGGAGGTGGGCTCGTCGAGGAACAGGACGATGGGGTCGTGGATGATGTCCACGCCGATGGACACGCGGCGGCGCTCCCCAGCCGGACACGCCGCGGTGGCCCTCGTCGCCGATGATGGTGTTGGCCGCGTTGCGCAGGCCGAGCTGGTCGATGAGCGCCTGCACGCGCTTCTTCTTCTCCTTGGTTGGCAGCGAGCGGGGCAGACGGAACTCGGCGGCGAACATGAGCGTCTCCTCCACGGTGAGCATCGGGTACAGGAGATCGTCCTGCATGACGTACGCGGAGATGACCTTGAGCAGGTTGCTGTCGAGCGACTCCCCGTTGAGCGTGACGGAGCCGTGGAGGCTCTCCTTGACGATGCGGTTGGCGAGCGCGTCGATGAGCGTGCTCTTGCCAGAGCCGCTGGCGCCGAGCACCGCCATGATCTCGCCCTCCCGTGCCTCGCCGGAGATGTTATCCAGCAGCGTCTTCATCCGAGGCACCTCGGGCCCGCCCGGCTCCCCGCCCCCGCGGCGGAACGGCAGCGCCGGCAGGCACGGTCCCTTCTTCCGCTGCTTGACGCTGTACGTCAGGTCCGTGAACTTGAGCACGAACGGGAGGAGCGGCCCATCGCTGCCGCGGTCGCCGCCGCCGCGCATGCGCTCGCTCAGGTCGCTGCCGGTGGAGCCCGGCACGGAGCCGCCCAGCTCGATGGTGTAGTGCGAGTGCGTGGGCGAGGACGTGGGCGACGAGGCGTCGCTGCGCGCCTCGTTGACGCGCTTCAGCAGCTGCGCGAGCGTGAACGACGACTGCTTCGCCGGCGGCGACGGCTGCGGCTGCATGAGCAGGCCGCTGTGGTGCGGCTGGTGGTGGTGCATGTGCAGGAGGCCGTTCCGCGGGATGTCCCCGGCCTCCTCCATTGGCGACGACCTCCGGTCAAAGAACGGCAGCTTGTCGACGAACCGCGACATCGCCGCGCCGCGCTCAACACGTACGTGCTCCTCCCCTCCCCCTCACCGCCGGCCGGCACCCCACCTAGCTTCCTGCCGCGGCGAGCGAGAAAGAGAGAGATAGAGAGGCGGGTTCTCGATCGGCGTTGGCTTGGACTCAGAGGATCACACTGCTAGTAAGTAACCATTCTTATAGCTCCTCACTGGAGCAGTCAAAAGCAGCGCTAGGTTGGTGAAGGGAGATTGGCTGCCCGCGCCACCGCTCTGGTTTTTTTTTTCTTGCTGTTAGTTGGAATCGGTTAAGTTGCCGCGGCCATGGATGTGAGGAACCAAGGAGGAGACGAGAGGGGTTAGCTTGGGTTTAGGAGAGGGGGTCAAGGCGGTGGGTGCGGTGGGTGGAGCTCCCTTCGCCCTCACCGTGCCTGCCTGCGTGCGCGTAAGTTTTGGCGCGCGAGGTGGTTAAGCGTCCCTCGCCCAAAGTTCACCAAATGGGCAGCTAACAACAGCGTAGCAGAGCACCGGGATATGCGCAAAAGTATGCCAAAGAACGCATGGAGGGTTGGGGGAGTGGTGTGAGGTGTTGGCCAAAGTCAGGAAATGTCGTAGGGGCAAAACAAATTGTAATCACTCGCTTTTGGAGCAGCACATCATTGGGTTATTAGATTGTTCACCTTAACTATCCAAAGTTTACGGACTTTTGAAATTGACTCACTTATCCCTTTTAGCAACGTTGTTAGGTCTTAGGTGCGAGCTGCCTTGCATGTCGTGTCGCTGATTTGTTTAACCTGGCACACCACGTTATGGGCTGCCGGCTGCCGCTTTCCGGCTTTCGTTGGAAATCGCGATCCGCCAAGTTTGCACGTCTGGTTTCTTGTTGCAGCGGTGGAGGAGCGCGCGGTCACGCGGCATGTTTGATAGCCTCACCAGTCGCACTGCTCTGTGTGTACGTGGGCTGGGGGACGAGCGTGAGGTGGTGAACAAATCGCCATCTACCTAACCGTATCTCAACGCCCTAGGTCTTACCAGCAGAATACGCTGTTTGGTCAGGCACTGAGCCACTGACCGAATAGGTCGCTTCTCTGCATACGTACTGTTTTAACACTATTGAACCCTGTGCTTTACTGTAGAAAGGAGCCGTTCCATCAACCGCAACCAAAAATTGAACTGCAGAACGAAGGAGCCGGCGGAGCTGGTTTTGGAGCTCCAGCTGGCTCCTGCTACAGGATAGCCACAGTGTTATACAGTCGAGGAGCCGGAGCAGCTCCGAGCCGCACAAACGGCCCCTTAGTCTTTTCTCACGGCCGATGCACGTAGAAAAAATCAGATTTTCAGTAGGCAGGTAAAAAATGCAGTTTCGGATGAAAAGTAAAATGGGGTGGAATCAAATGCATGCAGCTTTATGGGATGCTTTTTGGAACAGCCTGTTATTATGATCATAGTCTGACCAACACTAGCTCCTTGTGATGAAAAGATTGGTCCGACCAACACTTATTCTAACCAAGTCAACCTTAAGTTGACCAGCACTATCTATTTTGCGGTTTTCAAGAGCTCTTTTAAAATTCCAAGTTTTCCACAGACCAGTTTTAGTGAGAAGTTTTGTGACATGGTTATCAAGATTATCATATCAGCTTTTATGGCCCCGTCACGGATCCGAAACTTGGTTTGAAAACCTTTTATTACCGCTTTTGTGTTGATGATTGTGAATGGATGAACAGGCTGGTTTCAAACCAGCGAACACCACCTATGTTGAAGATTGTGACTGGTTTCATCTAGATGAAACTCTCCGTATCTCTCTCTCTCGTAATTAACCTATGAAGTCATCAAATCTGCTGACACGTCATAATATTAAATGCAAATAAAACTTAGATGAAATCCCCATTGAGACCAGACTCATGAGCTAAAGACAAAACTAAGATTTTCAGGTGAGGTACTGTTGAAAGCTTCTAGCATAGTGTAAGTAATAACACAGTGATCATGGGAAAATATTTGATAAACGTATGTGTGGTTTCAAAAACATCTTCAAACAAGTATAAAATATACCTTCTATCTTTATCTCTCTTGAAACAACTATGAAAAAGCTTTTTATTTCTAATTTGTAAAGTCAAAAGCCAAAAATAGAACAAACCAACTTTCAAAATATACTACCCATTTCAAGTGCTTGATCCAGGCCAAAAAGTTTATTTGGTTGGGATTTTGGCTTTTTAGCCAAAAGCCAATACTAAAAGCCTAACCAAACAGACCCTCCCTCAGGTGAGGTACTGTTGAAAGCTTCTAGCATAGTGTAAGTAATAACACAGTGATCATGGGAAAATATTTGATAAACGTATGTGTGGTTTCAGCACATCTTCAAGATTCTGGTTTCATCAATTTCTCGGTGGCACGGTAATGGTACTAGTAGTTGAAAGTTGAACAAAAAAGAATATATACCCATTTCAAGTGTTGATCCAGCTCAAAATAGTCAGAGACGCTTAGCAGGAGAGCAACCGTGAAGTGCGGGAGCAGGGGCAGGACCTAAAGTATGGTGGGCCGGAAACCGACCAATGCCACATCATTAGCCCGGGCCAACAGGCGACAGCCCATCTCAAACCCCTCCCCGACGTCTCCCATCCGGCAATCCCTCGCGCGCGGCTGGGGGGGGGCTCGGCCTTCGGGCGAGCAAGCGCGGACGTCAGCGCGTGGACCCGTGAGGGGCCCGGCCGGCAGCGTCGTTTTCCCCGGGCCTGCGTTTGGTGAGCGTTTGGGCCTGCTGGCTGTGCCGCTAGGCCAGCCCGTCGTGGCGAGCACGCCCTGGCGCGGAGCAGAGGGGCGACCGCCGACCGGTGCGGCGCCGTTTTCTTCCGCTCGGCACCAAAAGCCCCAAGCCCCCAACGCCACCAGCCCTTTCCCACTTCCCGCCGGAGCGCTCTCCTCGTCCGTCGCTCCATCACCGCCTTCCAATCCCATGGGCGACCCGCACCTCCTCTCCTCCGCCCACCCCACCGCCGCTGCCGCCGCCGCCGCCGCCTCCTCCTCCTCGGCTCGAAAACACCCTGGCCCCATCGACGAGCGCCTCGCCGCGTCCGATCCTTCCCCGTCCTTCGCCAAGCGTCCTAGGGTTGCGGCGGAGCCGCCCGCTTCCGGCGGCTGCGTTCCGTACGTCGAGGCGGATGTACGAGCTCTTGTATCGATGGCCGGAGGAATTTACCCGCTGGCGCGGGCAGAGGCGCTCCGTGGACTCACCTCGGTCCTCGAGAAGGTCAACCCCAGCAGCCGTGTCAGCGCAGGGATCACGGAGTGCTGCTACAAATGCGCGGTGGAGCTCATGAGGGACGACGACAACGGCGTCAGGTTAGCCGTCGTGCGATTGGTGAGGTCTTGTCGTTTCGTTAGTATTTTGTTGCGCTTGGACGCCTCGGTGAGGTTAATGAATTAATTGGCTTAAATCTGAGGTGTTGAGGAAATTTCCTGCTCCCCATGGATAGGTAGACGCGTGTGCTCGAAATTTTCAGCGAGATTGGATTTCGATGCCAATGGCTATGGTGACCTGATGGACATGATTTTCCTACAGGTATGGTTTGCACACTTTGTGCTGCAGTTGATATTACAGGTTTACAATAGAGTAAAATTGAATAGGCGTAAAAATAAGCACTCTCTAATAAGCATGAATTTACATGGTTTCGTGTTCCAACAGCATTTGATGTTTTTGTATTTGCTTATACTCCCTGAGTGCTACAAAGAAAGACATTATAAGATTTGTAGCAAAAATTAAGGACCAAGCAAAATGAGTTGGATATCCCTCAAAAGTACTGGTGGACAATGATAGACAGTGCTGAACAGTGTCAAACAGTCTACGGTGTCTTTCTTTTTGGGAGAAATTTTAAATGCTATAAGGTCTCTCTTTGTGAGATGGAGGGAGTAAGACATATTTCCACTGCTTACCATTTGATTCATATCAGCTGAGATCCTTGTGATAGTATAAGGAGAAAGTGTTGATCCTGAAACAATGTTAATATCGAAGTACTTTCTTTTATAGTGTTAAATAATTTTTTTATATTTTTTCTTAACAAAATGTACAAACATTTCATCTGTAAATAGCATGCTTTGTTTCACTCTAATGCTTATGCTTCCTCTTTCGTCTCTACTCAGCTAAGCTCCATGGCTAGGGACATGTGCACACAAGTGAGAATGGAAGCATTCGCTGCCCTTGGTAAAATGCAACGAGTTTCTGAGTGTGTTCTGCTACAGTCGCTGTATAAGAAGGTCATAAAAACTGACAGTATGGGTGTTTCTATCATCAACGGGCAAAAATTACCTCCTAAACTAAAAATTCCCTGTGCTGCTGGGATTTTTTCCCATGGAATTGAAGATGAGTTTTACCAGGTTCTGTCATTCTCAGCATCGTTTCCACTAAAATTGCAATATTTTTATTTTATTTTATTGATATTTTTATTTTATTTTATTGTTGTTTCCACATTACAGGTGAGAAGAACTGCTTGCAAATCATTAGGAGCACTGGCAAAGTTTTCTACTCAGTACACAGAGAAGGCCTTGGACTTGTTGATGGACATGATGAATGATGATATGGAAGCAGTTAGGCTGCAGACTTTGGAAGCACTATTTCATATGGCAACATATGGATATTTGAGTGTGCAGGAGAAGCACATGCATATGGTATTACCTATGAACATAGTTTGCCAAGTAATCAGCATATATTAATTAATTGGCCATTCCTTAGGTAGCACATGCCACATGTTAGTCCTATGCCACTCCTTTTAATTCATAGCTAGTTATCTTTTCTTACTCTGTTTATAAGATATGCCTTGTAATGATATCACAGGTTGTTGGATAGAATGGAGATTTTTTTTCCCGGAACGTGCGAGAGAGCTGCGTATCAGGATATATTTTTTATATCCTCAGCTTATCACACAGCCTTATTATTCTGAAATATTTTGTTGCAACTGTAGGAAAATCTTTTGTAGCCACTAGCCAGAGTTCCTCAAGCCAGTACCAGTGTACTGAAGATAGAGTACTGGCACAGATATATCTTAGCTGATAGTGATCTGCATCATTGAATGTGTGGTTTTCAAGGGAACAATATGGAACAACATCGACCATAAACATATATGCAACGATAGTGGACTTGACCAGAATCTGAAACATTCATGAAAATATAATTTTGTGTCAAAACAGCTCAGTTTTGTAGTTCCTTGTCAAGGGCGTCAATGCCCAAGACAGCGGGTCCTCGGCTACGGAGCTCGTAGCCTCGGCTGATAATGGCGTCGGGGTTGTTGCCCAGCTGCCCAATGGTGAAGGAGGTGAGATTAGGAAGAAGAGAGAGGATTAGGATTGGTAATTCTTGATTGATTTCCAAGAGTGCCAATTACATGGGATATATAGGCCCGTGGCCATCTAATAAAAAGGAAACAAACTCCTTTATTCTAGCAATATCTAATCCTAGCATTATATGATTGCATGGCTGCATGCCTCAATCAGCTCCTAGATGCGTGGCCGGCGTCGGTACTGGACGCCCCACATGACATTCCTAAAGTGGTGGGTCCATATTTTTCGATTCTTGTGCATTTTACCGTCACAAAGCAACCTTAGCCCCAGTTTTTAAGTAAAAGAAAAGCATGCATAATCAAAATAGATCAAGCAGGTTCGAGTCCTGTTTTTGTTGAAAGTCCTCTCTCTGCAGTCTGAATGACTTATAATTGGATTTGTACCTGTTTAAAAGGATCTTCCAAATAATCTAGACATATCTTTGCTATTGATCTTGCTAAATGCTAGTAAATTCTCCAACCTTATGTATGTAATTGTTTTTGTAGTTTCTTGGATTGCTGGTTGATGCCAATGCCTTAATTCGAGATGCAGCACGCAAGATCCTTTGGGTTAGTCAACATGCCAAAACTTCAAATATTCAAATCTGCAGTTGATGGTCTTATTACAAGTTTGGAGAAATATCCAGAGGTATCTTAGTGCCACATCTTTGCTGAAAATAATCATCACAGTTTTTCAGATCTCTTAAATTTATGTTATGGGTCAGCAACTCAGCATGTAATATATTCACTCTTTCATGGTTTAACTGGATTTATTTATTTCATGCAGGAACAGGATATATATGGTATTCTGTTTTCCATTGGTAAGAATCATGGGAGCTTTTCAGCTAACATAGCTAAACATTTGGCCAAAGAGGTATTCTCAATTTCCAACTTCCAGCTGTATTTACATGCATGCCATCTGAGAACAATGCTGCTAGTTGTACCTTTCTCTATACTTCAATTTGCTATGTCATTCAGTAACCACTGTCTAGTTAGATGCACCAATATCTGTGTTTGGTATCTACAATTTCCTCCATCATATCTTTTGCATTCTTTTCTAAGGTATGTTTTCTAATGTTATTTTTATCTGCATATCATAGATCACTATGGCATCTGATGGAGAGCTTATCTTGGACAAATCAAGGGTCAAAGCATTGTTAATAGTGTCTATTTCAGCACCTTTTTCTGATGATAAGCACAAGAAGCTGGACATACCTTCGATTATCTTCTCACGTGCAATTCCTCTACTGGAGAAGGTCTCGTGTGCACTAGGAGGAGAGGTTAATCAGGATTCACTCTTATCTTACTTGTGTCATAAAGGTGGAATGCCATTTTGGGAAAACAGATCAGTATCTGCAGAGTTTGGAGAATCTGAAAGCTGCAATGTTGAAACAGTGGAAATTGGTGCCCATATAGAAAATACTGCAAAGGAAACCAAGTGTCTAGATGAAGTTTTGGTAATGCAATCCATGAAATCCATACTAGAAATAGTTGAAGGAGCCTGGACTATGAGAATGTCGTTTAATGTCTGTGAAGTCCGAACTATTTTGAGGTACTAATGACTCCTTTTCCTTTTGCACACAACCAAACCATTCTACATTGCTCGAGTGCATATCCAGTATTACTGTTTAATCCCAAATTTTGCATGATGGTCGATGATAGCATGCTATATCCATCCATATTTTTTGTGGAATTTTTTATGCGCTTGGGGTGCAACCTTGCATTGGTAACACTGCAACCCAAGTAACATTGGATATATTCTCTATATAGTCTATCTTGTGAAATATCTTTTTAATTCAATTTTTCTTGATTGTAGAACATGCAAAGAAGAGCTAAGATTGTTGGCAGAAAATTCTTCTGGATCAGTTGGTGCATTCTTGAGGTTTCTGAGTGAGTATCTTGATGCAATATTGTTCATTGTTGAAATATGGCAGTTGATTCAGTTGGACAATCCTTATACTTTTGGCCTAACGTCACTTGATATTTTACTGGAGAAGTTGGATATGTCTGTAAGAAGGATGGAATACTGTTATGTTGGATTAAATAGAGTATTGGAGGTCCAAGTGTTGGAGCTTTCTTTGATAGCTCATTTATGTAGACTGTCAAAGATTGCAGTTTGTTCCAAGGTAGTTCTGGGTAAGTTGCTTTGGGTAATTAATCGCTTAGAGGATCTGTGTGCTGATGGGTCCTGTGAACTGTCTGACTTCAGTAGAGAAATTAAGAAGGCCTGTGATACCAACCCTACTGGCGACAATCTGATTGGCAGCATTAACAATTTGTTTCAACTCTTCCGTCTAAAACCAAGAACAGACTTTGGAATGCTTAAAATGATAAATGTAGTGTTGCAAGTCTGTGATAATGATTCTGAAAATCCATTACAATACATTTGTGGATTACCAGTGGGCGTCAGCTTTAAAATATCTCTGTGGAACGTATCTAGTCATCATAGATTGTGGCTCTGCATGACTATTGGTGAATCTATGCAACATACCTTCCTAGATTTTTCTTGTTTTGGAGGCAATGATGAGGTGAAGAGCGGCTCTATGGTTGTTCCTCTGTATGCTACTCCAAAGGCATGTTCATTTGTGCTTAGGGTATGTGTGGTAATGGAATGTCCATCTGCAGGGATCAGCACCCACCACGGAGATGGAGGACCGAGTGATTATGTGGTTCAACTCTCTGATGAACTGGATGTTTATTTTGTTAGTGCTGTACAATGGTGATGATTAAAATATAAGTGATCATATGCTCTCCATGCTCATCATATTACAGGCTCTTGATTTGAGTGGTATGCATAATGCTCACTCTTGATCCACGATCTCTTCTGAGGAAAAGGGTTCAGTTGCGCTGAGATTTTTGTAGCTATAGCAAAAGCAAAGCAGATGAGGCGCATGTTCCATGACCGTATGCATAGTTTGGAGGTGCACAGTTCCTTAGGAGCTACAGCTTCAGACGGAAGGTGAACCAGATGAAGTGACAATGGACTGTTTGGACCTACAACTTCAGACGGAAGGTGAACCAGATGAAGTGACAATGGAGAAGGTGGGCTAGGACGAGAAACTGCTCGATCAGAAATTCGGAATTTTACAAAACAGTTCATGATATATTTAATACTTATTCAATTTAATCATCCAGGTTCTGTAATTTAGTTATTCAATTTAGTTATTCAAGTTTTAATTTGTGCAGTTTACTGATGATCAGGTCCAGATTAATAAGATATCGGGTCATGGCCATGAGATAACTTTTGTGTGGTCTATTTGATCAGCTGATTATTGGTTTACAACTAAATAATTTGTTCAAATTTCTTTCTGCTGAAAGAAATTCTCATCGCCCTAATCAATCATCACCGTCCAAACCTTATCCCCTGATTGCAGAAAAGTGTTATAGATGGTCTTTGGAGGCCGGCACATAAATAGCAACGCACCAATTATGATTCAATTCGAAACGTGGGATTAGATTGATTCGTGGAAAGAACACTTTAGAGAGATTTGGCAACTCCATTTTCCATGCTCGATCGTTGGGGTATGCATGTGTGAAGTACACCCACGAAGGAATCATCTCGTCTCAAACATGAAACAAAGAAAGTCATTTCTCCGATATCTCTGTGTTTTCATTTGATGATTTGATCCATTATTCTAGTTATATCTACGAACTTCTATCAGATTGAGCTACGATTTTCAACTGCGTACTGAGACACCGAACCAGTGAAGGACTGACAGTGTTTGATTGAGCTTCACATGCTGTCATGCTCCTAGCTGGGGAGTGGGGAAGCGGAAGCTGGCGAAGGGAGGCTGAAAAGTACTGTTTACTTATTTATTGTGGGAGAAAAACACCGTAACATGACTGATGAGTTTTTTTTTTCCCGAGAAACTTAGTGAACACTGAACAGTAACGTGAGCAGTGAAGATTCACCAAACGGGACTGTCAAGATTGGGGAAAAAATCCAATCCCCGTAGAACGGGCCTGATTCACAAGACGTTTCATCCGCATGCGCTGAGACGGAGACGTGCGTCCCGCTTCTCATCGGCGTCGTCTTCCACGGCTATCCTATTTCACTTTGCCTAAACCTTCAGTTCATGGAATATTACCTTCGCTTCACTGGCGGCCATCAGGCTCTGCTGCTCACGACTTCTTTCGTATGCATGCCCATGGCGCAATAAGAAGTCGTCCTTGCGCAGGTACCTCGAACGAATCGCCTTCACGAACTCGGCCTCAGACTCCGGACTGTCGAACGGCAGCCCGGCCTTCACCAACCAAACCTCCGCATGACCGGGCTCTGCCTCCGGTCGCGTCGTCGTCGTCTCCGGCTCGCTCTCCTCGTCCTCCGCCTCCTCTTCCTCTCTTTGAAAGGGACAGTAGTCCCTGAGGTAGCTCAGGCGGCGCGAGCAGGCCGCCTTCCTCTCCGTCCAGCAGGCGACAAGACCACGGTCGACATGCGTGGCGCTGTCCATTCCCCTGCTCTTCTCGGCGATGACGGACATCAGGAACGCGGCGGTCATGTCCGCGCCCGAGTGAGCAAAGCTCTCCGGCGGCTCGCCCAGCACTCCAGTTGGGAACCGCGGCTGCACCGGCGGCGCGGCGCTGATGATCTCCTGCGGAGGGAGGTCGAAGCGGACCCTGAGGCCTTTCCTCTTATGTCGGCCGTCGACGGCCACGGCCATGGCCTCCGGTGCGCCATCATCGCTAGGGCTCCTGTCACTCTGCAAAATCGGTGCACGTGCACCTTCTCGCCGCGGCGTCGCCTGCTGCTCCGGGGCCTTTGGCTCCAGCGCCTGCGCCCTCTGCTTTTCAACGTCCACGTCGCACGGCTCCTCCTCCCTCACCGCCCAGATCCGCGGCCGCCGCCGCGTCGCCGCCAGGATCTTCCACTTGATCTCATCGGTCCACCGCTGCTGCAGCCGCCGCTTCTCACTTCCATGCGAGTTCTTGGCGGGACAGGAACATTAACAGCGTCATCGCTGAAGCATGTCAGTATAAGGAGCGCGCGCGGCGCCATCGACGCCGACGCCGATCGCCTGCTCGGTTAACGAGTTGCCATGCTTTTGTGGGTACGTGCTTGCAGCTTGTGCTTTATATGATGAGGCGCCTCGCCGTTAAGGTAAAGTACGAACAGGTGCTGATCAAATCTAATCTAGTTTATTAGTTTAATAGGCCGTACCGTACGTCGTCGGGAAAAAAAACTGTTGTAAAACGTCCAGCGTTTATATCCACATGGATATATACAACTAAAAGTTACGATACCTCTTAGGCTCAAATCCTCTAATCTGAGGAGCACAAAACAACATGAAAAAGAGCTTAAGAACTAAGAAAAGGTTTGAAAGACAGCTTCAAAATTTCTTCGCCATCCTTTCTAGCCTGTTTTGACTTGCTTCACATCACATGTTGTTAGATATTTTGGACCATCTAGGTGTAGATCAGAGGGTGATATCTTTACCAATTGAATCAAATAGACAGAGCTTGACATCGTCAGAGAGAGAGAGATGTAATCATCCGACCGTCGCCAGACCAGAGGAACTTCAAGGCAATGTCTCTATTCGAAGAATGTAGATGTCTCTTTGTTCATCTGTTGGTGTAGCATGGAGACCGGCTTCAAAAAAGTGGTGCTTCTCCTACATGGAACTAGGGTTATGATGTCTAGATATATCTGAATGTACCTCGTTAAAGAGCCAAAGGGCCTTCTCCTCCAACTAGTTAGAGCGTCGTCGTGGCACCACCCTCCAGTGTCTAGATGGCTGAACGTCCCCGATCAAGACGCGGTCGTCTCGACCGTTGGGTCAAGACGGATAAGATCAATTCTAACACATGTCTCTTAGAAACTAATGATGTCGAAGTTGTCACTCACTAACTTGTTCTGGACTGCAACAAGACATCGTCAAGGTAATCGGAGCCAGACCAGAGGAACTTCGAGGCAATGTCTCTATAAGAAGAATGTGATGTCTCTTTGTTCATCTGTGTAGCATGGCTTCTAAAAGTACTCCTACATGGAACTGGGAGATGATGTCTAGATATATCTGAATGTATGTGGTAAAGAAGAGAACGCAAGAAAGTACATCTAGGGCCTCTGATCCTTCGTCACCCTAATACTGGGAGGAACTAACGCTGACGAAAGATTCAGAAGCATGTTAAAGGAGGCGAATTTGGTTTATGTGCTAGTTTGTTGTTACTTTCTGAGACGTTACATGCTGATCTACTGATGGATGTTCTTATCTTATTCGTTCATGTCTTTATTTGTTCTGAATAGGGTTCAAGTTCAAATGGAGAGTTCCTAGCCTAGCGCAGTCTGTTCAGAGACGTCTCTCCGTGTGTTGTTCTGGTGCGTCGTCTCATCTCAGTGATCCACAGCGAACATGTCTGCAGGCCCTACCTATTATTTTGGCTTGTATAATAGTTTGGATTGGCAAATGGCTACTGGAATGCTTGCCTGCTGTTTTGACTATTCTAGTACATGTTGGACACAACAGCCAACAGGTGAACACCGAGAGTTTTGTTTACACCGAAGGTTAACACCAAATGAAGAGGGACATTCTTGTCAACACCTCAAAGGAGAGAAACAATGCTCGTGACGCCGCTGCTAACAACACTGGCACAAATCCGAGATAGGCTTTAGTTCCCCTGCACATCAGCACCATCAACATGGCAATATTGAGCAAAACATTCTGACGACAGAAAGTGGCAGTAGGGAGGCTGAATGGACACGCTAGCTCATGCAGCGCGCGTAGCCCGCTAGGACGACAAATATTGAGCCAAAGTACAGATTCTAGACTAAATAAAGAAAAAAAAGAAAATTGAGAAATCATAATATTGTATTAATCATTAATATTCAGAGAATATACATAATAGTTTTGGACTACATGTTCTACTTTCATTTACTGTGCTGACTACGAGAGACGGAGACGTTGTACAACAAAAACGAACTACATCGTATTTCCAAATAGTCCGAATTTGATGCTACCGAATATTTAGCCGACTATCATATAGCAATTCCGTATATATCCCCGTACACTTAACTTAAAAGTCTTTCCTAAACTATCATGTTTTCTATTGTAAAGATCCTTTACGAAAAGGTCCATTTTCTCATCTATAGATTGAGTTTGGTTTTAACACTCAAATACATGAAAAAATGTTTACTTTTAAACTCTCAAATATTAAACTATTCATCTCTCAACAAAATTTGAGTGTTTTACATGGCGTGGTCATGGCTCGTTGTGGCAATAAGACCAAGTCTTTGAATTTTAAAAATTAATAAATGGCTTAGGAAACTTTAAAAACTATCATTCGCGCTGAGAATACTTATAACCTAACTAATTTTCTAATAGAGCTGAAATAAAGTATTATATGACTGAAAATTGTGTGTTTAAACTAAGTTAAATCTTTTTTGTCATATTAATATAATTTAATTGAATCAATACTAAATTAATTTATGTTATGAATAGTTTTGATCGAGTTTGCTTATCGTTTTCTATAATCTTTTAAAATTCATATACTCATTTCCAAATTTTGGAAATCATGCTCCAAAACTAGTATATTTTAGGAAAACAATGATGAAAAAAAAATCTGAACCACATATTTTAGTGAAACATACTCCCTCCATTCCATAAAAATCGTCACTATAGGATTAGTGTTGGTCAAAATTTATTAAATTTGACTAGGATTGAAGAAAATTTTAGTAACATTTGTATCTCCAAAAAAGTTTAATATATGAAAATATATTCAATGATCTATCTAATAATACTAATTATGTATCATAAATATTAATATTTTTTAAATGTTTGGTCAAAGTTGAAAATATTTGACTTGTCATAGCATTTTATAGGGACGGATGGAGTATATTTAAGTCATTGAAAATCATAAACACGAGTGGTAAATCATATGTTTAACCCGTTTGCAAATAGACATTCCTCTTTCTAAAAATTCAAAAACTATTTACTCCTCCGAAAAAAAGAATCCTAGCTTTGAACCTGGACACACGCTATGTCCAGATTCGAAGTTAGAATTGCGTTTTTTTTTTTACAGAAGGAGTAGCTATGACGATTGTTGTGTGAAAAAACACCCTTACTTCAGGCCAAGATTGAAAAGTGAACGTGTTTAATAATTCTTAAAAGGAAAGATAAACAGATTCAAACCTAAGCGTCCAAGACTAGACTTAATAGTTGAAGTGACTAAGTCTACGGGGTATATGATGTACTTCTTCCCGTGATTTATGAAAAAAATTGCAAGGACCATCTTCAACAGAGGACGATGGATACAGATGGGCCAGAAACTATACGGACAATAGGAAAAAAGTCTACGATACCTCCCTCAACTTTCGTGAAAGTTCATATTTTCTCCCTAAACTCCAAAACATGGCAAAATATCTCCCTCAATTTTTAAAACCGTTCATCCTACCTCCTTGGCCCGGTTATAAGCGGTTTTGAAGACAGTTTTATCTTTTTCTTTTTTATTTATTTCGGCTGAATCTTTGAAAAATCATAGTAAATTATAGAAAAATCATAAAATAGAAAATCTAATTTTGTTGGACTCCACATGAGTAGATCTACACAGTGAACATATAATATGGTATGTTTTAGTACAAAATTTTTGTTGTAGCTTTAGATTTATGTTTTTCTGTAATTAAATGGAATAATTCATATTTGCAGTCTCTATGGTCTAATTGTGGTGAAATTTTTATGGTAGGCTAATTATTGTATGCTTAAACTGTAGTAAAAATTTCATACTCATTGGATCATGTATAACTTAGTTATAGATTTTATTTAGGTTTATGCATGTTAAATATAAATAAATCCCTCGTGGCTTTATTCGGCAGGACTTATTACTGTTGTGGCTGATTTGTAGAGCTGATTTGTTGTGAGAAAAAATATTATTCTATGGTTGAAAAAGTAGGATTGATTGTGGCTTATAATCTCAATGGAACAGAGCCTGGGCGGTGTTCGGCAGTTGGCCAGGGCCATGTTTAGTTTCCCCTATTTTCAGAATTTGACACTATGTAAAAAGAAGATTCCCCGTCACATCAAACTTGCGGTACATGTATGGAGTACTAAATGTTGACGAAATCAAAAACTAATTACACAGTTTGGTTGTACTCTGCGAAACGAACGTTTTGAGCCTAACTAGTTAACGATCTCAATTACCAACAAAAACAAAGAGCCTGTAGCGGTGTTCTTTTTTGGGCGGCGCCGAATCGGCTGATGAACTAAACGCGGCCCAGAATTCAGAACTTGTACGTACGCATCTCCAGGGAGTTCCATCGATGTCAGGCATAAATCACGAACAGCTGTAACGTCAAATTGTGCCTACTGAATTGATCCTCTCCAATCAGTTCGTGATGTGGGCATGTGGCGGGATGGCTGCCACGGCTAGCTTTCGGGACAACCTTTTTTAGAAACAGCTTTCGGGACAACTGCTACGGGCTCCTCCTCGGCCTATGCGGGAAGCCCAAGCCAAGATAGTTTAATGGGCCGGTTGCGGAGCCTGGCGTCATAACGCGGCCTGTTTTTTACGATAACAAACCTTTTAGTTAGGTACTAAACACGAGGAACATCAATTAATACCACATCTCACAGTGACAGACATATGGCTGGGAAGGCGTGTATAAAACAAGGGGCATGGCAACCATACAACTCATATCTTTCTCGGTCTTTTGGCTAAGATCAAATGCAGTATCTGTTCTTATCAGTTATATCTGATACGTGGGACAGGTGCCCACAATGATATTAAAATTATTTTTTATTATGGGGAGAATGTAATATGGTAGCTTGCTACTAAAATTCTTGTGTCGCCCTAGCATTGCACTATTGCTTGGGCTTGGCACACCCCTACAAATTAAATCAATTGTTGAAAGTTACCTACCAAATCAATTGTTGAATTCAGTTCATGGGGTCTGGTTCTCTAAATTGGTTTATATTGGAACAGAAGAAAAATGTGTAATTCAACTTTTTAATTAAGAATAGAGTTACGTATTTGTTTAAAACCATTAAGGGTAAAAAAAAAATTAATGCG